TTTAAATGTTTTAAAAAAGTTGACCAGTCTGTCCTTTAAACACTTTTCTAACAGTTTTGCAAAGTTATTAATTAAACTAATTGGTCTATAATTTTCTATGAGCTTTTTCGAGCCTGATTTGTGTACTGGAACTATTAAGGACTTTTTGAATAAATCTGGAAATATTCCTGTTTTGAAAGTTAGATTTACAATATGAGATATGGGAACCAAAATATTTGATTTTGATAATTTAATTAATTTCGTGGAAATACCATCCAGTCCAGGGGCTAAGTCATTCTTCAGGGAGTCTATGCATCTGGCAATTTCCTGCTCTGTGGGTGGATACATATACATGGAAGCAACATTCGACCTGTCTTCATATGTATTATTGCTTTTTGGTTGTATCTTTTTTGCCATTTCAATTCCAACATTTACAGAGTATTCATTGCAGAAGTTAGCCATTCTTAGGTTGTCATCAAAAGGGGTGTTATTAGTGTCATTTATGGAGAAATTTGTTTCTTTTTTGTTATGGTTAAGATTGGTAGCATCATTAATTATTTCATATATTTTTTTTAAGTTGTTTTTGTTGTTTTCTATTTGATTTTTATAATAGTAATATTTTTGTTGTTTTAAGAGTTTATTTTAAAAGTTTCTGTAGTGTTTGTATTTAGCTTCTAATGCAGAAGTATAATTTCTTAAAAGTGCTCTCTTTAACTTATCTCTATGTTTAATGGAATTAATCAACCCATCACTAATCCAATCTTTAATGTTTTTATTATTTAACTATTGTAGCTGATTTTTTTACATCAAGAAATACATTTATAAATTTATTAGTCGCTTCATTGAAGTCGAAATAACTAACGATTTCGTTCCAGTTTACCATAGATATTTTTTCTTTAAACATCTCATAATCTATGTAGACCCCACGATCTGGCAGATTGTTTTTTTCCTTACAAAAATCTCTTTTATAATTTATGGTTAGAAAAATTGGGTAGTGATCAGTCAAATCGCTGTTCAGCCGACATGACCCAAGTTTGAGGCCTTGACTTCTTAGTTTTTGTTTCACAAATAAATGATCTATACATGAGTGAGAATTTTTTGAGAGCAAAGTGAAATGTTTTCTGCCTACCATTGCGACTACTGGAAAGCGGACTGTTTGCCAATGATTCTGATACAAAACCAGCTCGCTTTTGCCTTAATGGGTCATGTTTCACTCAGAAGCTCAAAGGGATTATTGAAAAGAAAAATCTTATTGAAAGCGGCTTAAGCTGAAATTACTAGCCGAAAATCCGATATCCTAAGCAGTAAGAAGCCCTTTGTGTGACTTCGGTAAGGGCTTCCCAACGACGTTCTTTGGCAAATCATCCAGTTTAGGCGCGTTCAATTTTAGCGGTAATCTATGAAGCAATTTTCGTTCCTTTTGAAAACGAGCAGCTGCGCTGCAGACTGGAAGATTTTCCTCTTCTGTTTAGGATTATTTACTGGGAAAAAGTTCGGATACACAATAGGGATTTGAGTTGCTTTAGTGGGAAATATCGCGATAATGTCTGGAGTAAATCCTGAACATCCATCTTCAGCAAGCAGCTATTACTCAAGTCGTTTGTCTTCAGCGAGAACAGATGGCTAAGATTTATCAAATGATCCAAGAGTAACATTCAAAGGTGCGGGAAATTGCGATAGATTACAAGATTTAATGGAGCATAGTAGTCAGGCCTAATTGAGCAAGTTTGCACATGATTAGTTTGATAACCGAAAAAGTGAACAATCAATCAGCAAAATGACCTGCTAATTCCAATCGGTTTCAACATTATCAGGTGAAACTTAGTGTGCACGTCATGTGCAGAAATCCAATTATATCCCCAGTGAGTTGAAGAAACATGACAAATCCCTGGCTATAATGCATGCATTGGGAAACTGTTAATGCCGTAATTACAATCCAGAGTTCCGATATCATCAAGCACTAGGATTATCGATTTGAGGCGTTGGGATTACGGCAGGCGGCTATTTTAAGGCACGAGTCCGAATAATTTAGTCTAGACTTGCTAATTAAATATTCAAACACTGAGAGATCAATAATAAGGGATTTTTTTTATCTCCCAAAGGCTCTCATTCAAAACACCACCAACATACGCTCGAGCCGCGCTTTGGGTTACCAAGGGCGGATCCAGGGGGGGGGTCATGACCCCCATTCAATTCTCTATCCAACGATGCCAAAACGAATTATGTGGCTCGAATGGTTCTTGAGAAACCTCGAAAAAGGCAGCGTCATGTTCAAGTGGATTTTGCAACTCAAAAAAAACCACGCAAATCTAAAACTTCTTGAATTCAAG